GCAGAGAGAGAGGGAATCCAAGCAGACTTCATGCTGAGTGCAGAGCCCAATGTGGGGCTTGATCTCATGAGCCTGAGATCATGACCTGAGCCAAAACCAAGAGTCGGATGCTTAACTGACTACACCAGCCAGGCACACCAGAACTTAGTTTTTGATTACGTAGTAGTTTATGGTGTCTTCATCAAATTTCTTGATCTAGCAGAGACCTTATCACTCACCAGTTTGTGTCCTTCACAGTGTCTAACATCGTGCTGTTTTCTTGGCACTTAATAAGTTATTTGTAATTTGAAAGAAAATTGTAACCTAAGTATAGATATCGCTGCCTTTACACTATAGATTTGTTTCTGAATTATTTTGTATAAATAACATTTTTGTATTTAAGTTATACTTTATACAGGAAAATATAATCTTTGACAGATTATAACAAATTATCTTGATTTCTTGTTTCGCTAAATCTAGCTTTTTTTTTTTAAACTGTCAATAAAGTGTATTTTTTTAAAGTGAGTATTATTTATTTGAAATAAATACAGACATTATATTGAGATCTTTGGTCTTTACAATGTGTAGTTTGTATACTGAGCATCTGGTTTTGTGGAAAGATGTATTCTTCCTCTACAATTTGCAGACTTGTATGTGAGCGTTGAGCACTTACGGTAATGGTCTGTTACCTCATGGTGTGTCAGTACCAAGCATTACACCTCTTTCATTTGATGCCTGTCCTCTTAAGGATTATTGTAAAATTGTGTTCTTGTGAGGAATATATACTACTGTTAATAACACTGTTAATATTTTTAATTTTTTAAATACTGTTATTTTTAAGTAACAAATTTTTTAATTATTCAAAGTAATACTGCCACGTTACAGAAGGATTGAAAGGACCTTGAAAAGAACAGGCTCACATAATTCTATGGTCCTCATTCAACAACTGTGATCATTTTATTATTCCCTTTTCATACATGTATTTATAGTTGTAATTTATAATCTTTTTATAAATGTAAAATATCATTTACATTTTATATCATACTTGCTATCTTTTTATATTCTTGAGATAAGATTCCTTTATTAAATATGTACAATTTTGTCTCCTTTTCAAATTTTATGTGATCTGTACATCTGTGTTGATAAATTATCTTCATGCTTCTTCTCAGTTTTAATAGTTGTATAATATTCCATAAAGTAACTGTACTATAATTTACTAAATGTTGGGCACTTCTGTATTTTCACTGTTGTAAATATTTTGTGATCATATAATTGGGTTTGTCACATTTTCTGTTTGTGGGTTTGTTTTTCCTGTTTTGCTTCTCTTCTCCTACTTGGATTAGATTCTTGGAAGTAAACTACCGAGGAAGAAGCATATGTATAAGTTTTTATGGCTCTAAATAAGGACACATGCATTTGCTATAAAATTGCTTCTCCAGAGAGGAAATGGGGAATACCCACCTGCAGTGTTCAAGAGGAATAGGTGTACTGTGCTTGCACTAACATTGAGTCCATTTTTTGAGGGATGCTAATTTAGTAAACAAAATGTGATACCTCATTTTCTCTTGCATTTCTTTAAATATTAGTAAGGTGGAACAATTTTATATATTAACTAGTTGTAACTCCCACTTTGTGAATTCTCCAGCCGTGTTTTGTCCATTGTTTATTTAGGTAATTTGTTTATTCTAGGTATTCCTTATGTTTAGATAGAAATATCTCATACATTCATCTTAGAACATTGTCACATTTGCTTTTATTTACATTGGTGTAGTGTCTCTCCAGTGTATTTAATTGTGAATTGGTAAGTTGTATCTGGTAGGCTGACTAAATTCTGTAAACAGAATTTATCTACTTCCTAATCTGCCTAATGGTAGACTTCACTGGAATTATGAAAAAATCTTTAAAATGGTAGTAATGAAATGCTTAATTTCTTGTGCACCTTTGAGTTAGTAAATTTTGGTGGCAATCATATTAATAGGAGTTTGAAAGCGCTTTCTTTAGAAGCTGTACTTGTTTAAAATAATTTTATATCATACTTGCTATCTTTTTATATTCTTGAGATAAGATTCCTTTATTAAATATGATTTTTATAGGATATAGAAAAATATCTAGAAAATTTAGTAGTACCAATGAGCTTTTCAGTGTTGATTAATTTTTCAAGAATGTTTTTGAGCATGTTGGTGTCTGTTTCCAGTGAGAAGCAGTTGGAGTGTTTGCTGACACACTGCATCAAGGTGCCAATGCTCATCCTGGACCCAGCCCTGCCAGCCAACATCACACTGAAGGACCTGCCATCTCTTTATCCATCTTTTCATTCTGCCAGTGACATATTCAATGTTGCAAAACCAAAAAACCCTTCCACTAATGTCTCAGTTGTTGTTTTCGACAGTGCTAAGAATGGTAAGATCTCCTTATGGGTATTTTAAAATCATGTCATCATTGGCTTTTTGAGTAACAAAATTCTGAATGGAACAGACATGATTCTGTTTTAAAGAAGTACCTGATAAACTAAAAACATAAAAACAGAAGCAAAAGAGCTGCCACTGTATTTCAGCCCTAACTTCAGAAAGGGATTGCATATATCTTACTCCGTGTAATACACTCGCCTTTCTGTGCTGTGGTTAGGACCTTAAATTTGATACTTCATTTACCTTATTCTCTTGGCTCTGACTTATTGTGGAGGCTTATTACTATTATTATTTTTTACCATATAACTCTTCAGCAAGGTTATTTTCTACAGTTTGAACAGAACATACCTGGAACATTCTTACTTTCCATTCTGAATTATCTGATTATACAGTTGATTTGGTCAGATAATAGAATTGAAATTGTAATTTCTGGCATAGAATAATGCGCACATCTAGAGATCCCATCCTCCCACTTGGCCACTGAGCTGGTGAGCCCCATGCCTGTGTCTCTTCTGGCCTGTTGTCTCTCATGCTTCCTCTGCACTGAGCCTCTCTCCTTGGAGGCTACATGTGTTTCACTTGTGTAAAATGAAAACTGTCATGTTCCCTTTACAGCATTGAGTCCTGTTCTCAAGTTCCCATTCTTTTAGTGTCATACCTCCCAGCTTAAATCTTTGGAAATATCTTTGATGTGTTCTTACTTTTTACATCCATCCCTAATAGATTAACCTCACCCTATTACTTGCTTTTGTTTTTCGCAAATGATTCTCCGCTTTCTTACTCATCTCACTTCCTCTGCACCAGACTGAATTCCTTCACACAGGCTCCGGTGATAGCTGCCTAGCTCCTCTACCTGTAAAGTTCTTCTCCAATCTGTCTGGCACACAATCTGAATAAATCAGAAAGTTCTGATTTTATTTGCTTGCTTCCTTTTTGAAGACAATAATACAGTAGTATGTATTTGTTATATACATCTTTGTTACAAATTCCCCTTCCTGGTGTTCAGGACCCAGCCCTGATTCTGCCCTTTGTTTCCCCTGCCCTCCTGCCCTCCTCGAGGCTGCCAGTTTCTTCACACATGTGGTGCTGCTGTCCTGGTCCTCTTCCTCTCCCAGCCTGCCTCCCGTTCTTTTCAGCCCCACCTCTGTCTCCATGAAGATCCTGGACAGTACATTCACAGTGATTCTAATTCTTTTTACTTTTCTGTATCCCTGTAGTACTTGTAACCTCACTCACAACTTAGTTTTTTGGGGTTTTTTTGTTTTGTTTTTAAAGATTTATTTATTTTTTAGAGGGGGTGGGCAGAGAGAGAGGGAATCCAAGCAGACTTCATGCTGAGTGCAGAGCCCAATGTGGGGCTTGATCTCATGAGCCTGAGATCATGACCTGAGCCAAAACCAAGAGTCGGATGCTTAACTGACTACACCAGCCAGGCACACCAGAACTTAGTTTTTGATTACGTAGTAGTTTATGGTGTCTTCATCAAATTTCTTGATCTAGCAGAGACCTTATCACTCACCAGTTTGTGTCCTTCACAGTGTCTAACATCGTGCTGTTTTCTTGGCACTTAATAAGTTATTTGTAATTTGAAAGAAAATTGTAACCTAAGTATAGATATCGCTGCCTTTACACTATAGATTTGTTTCTGAATTATTTTGTATAAATAACATTTTTGTATTTAAGTTATACTTTATACAGGTAAATATAATCTTTGACAGATTATAACAAATTATCTTGATTTCTTGTTTCGCTAAATCTAGCTTTTTTTTTTTAAACTGTCAATAAAGTGTATTTTTTTAAAGTGAGTATTATTTATTTGAAATAAATACAGACATTATATTGAGATCTTTGGTCTTTACAATGTGTAGTTTGTATACTGAGCATCTGGTTTTGTGGAAAGATGTATTCTTCCTCTACAATTTGCAGACTTGTATGTGAGCGTTGAGCACTTACGGTAATGGTCTGTTACCTCATGGTGTGTCAGTACCAAGCATTACACCTCTTTCATTTGATGCCTGTCCTCTTAAGGATTATTGTAAAATTGTGTTCTTGTGAGGTGTCCTTTCCCATTATATTCTTTTATTGGATGGTAATTATTACATAGAATGCCATCTTTTTTGTTTTGTAGAATCTATTTTTCTTTTTTTTTTTTTTTTGACTAAGTATGTAGTATACAGTGGCTAACTGAACATAATAACAAAAAAAAAGAAAAAACTATCCTTTATCAGATGGGTGGTTTGCAAGTATTTTGTCCCATTCTGTAAGTTGCCTTTTCACCCTGTCGATGATTCCTTGGCCAAGTAGTTTTGTTTTTTAAATTAGTTTTAAGGTACTCTGATGATGTTTTCCCCGGAGAGAAAAAGGAATGACATTAAGAATTATACCTCGGTTATAACATCTATGGAGAGAATCTTGAATTTTTCCTCTGCTAATTTTATAACATAGTAAAGACTTAAGAAGTTGTAAGTTTTGATATGAATAAAATTTGTATTAAACTATAGTCTTCTAAACACTGTTTTTGAATTCCCACTTGGGTTTCTATTTGCATTACTTATTCATTTGTTCAGTAAAGATTTGTGGAGCCACTGCTCTGTGTTGGATGTTGTTCCAGGTAACAGGGAAACAGCAGAGAACAAAGACACATCCCTGCCTTCACAGAGCTTACATTTCTAGTGGGGCAGACTCACTCTTTATTCTCCTCAATTATCTAGATCAGGGATTGCCAAATTCTTTCTTAAAGGACCAGATAATAAATATTTTAGGTTTTGTGGGCCAATAGGCAACATGGAGGATATTATGTAGGTATTTTATATAAGTATTTAATATTTAGCCATTTTAAAATTGTTCAAAATTGTTCTTAGCTTGGGGCCATACTAAAACAGGCAGTGGCTAAATTTTGGCCATAGAATGCCAACCCCTGATCTAGATAAAAAATTTGTATCCACATTTTTTTTTTTTTAAAGATTTATTTATTTATTTGAGAGAGTGAGTGAGAGAGAGTACATGAGATGGGGGAGGGTCAGAGGGAGAAGCAGGCTCCTCGCTGAGCAGGGAGCCCGATGCGGGACTCGATCCCGGGACTCCAGGATCATGACCTGAGCTGAAGGCAGTCGTCCAACCAACTGAGCCACCCAGGTGCCCTTGTATCCACATTTTATGTTCCATTTATCTCATTTAACTTCTTTCAAGTTCATCATCAAGAGCTGTTGACTTTTTTCTCCTTGTGAGATGTGTCGTTTCTCCCCCTCCAGTGCTCCGCCACTGCACTTGTCATCTAGGTTCTCTTGAGTAGACGGGACTTCAGCAGTCGCACAGTCCAGCCCTGCAGCCTGGGCCTGGATTTCTCAGCAAGGTGGTTTTTCCAGTCAAGCTTATCCCCTTTGATCTATAGGAAATGAATGTTCTCCTGTGATAATTCATTTTATCTCTGGACTACATTGACCTTTACAAGGAATTATGAAGTGCTTCCTTACAGCTTTCTCACACTGGTTAAATTTGTACCCACTGGGATCTTCCAGAACTAATGTAATATAATCTCTTTCCCATGTGATGTGACATTTCTTTTCATTCCTGTTCTTTTAGCTGTCTCTTAGGGGCTTGTCTGTGTCCTAGATTGTTCTTCTCAGAATGAGCTTTGGTTTCTGTTGCTTTTATTTATTTTTTACTTTTAAAGATTTATTTTAGAGAAAGAGAGTGAGCACGGGGGAGGGGCAGAGGGGGAGAGAGAGAGAGTCTCAAGCAGATTCCTCACCGAGCAAGGAGCCTGATGCGGGGCTCCATGTCATGACCCTGAGATCACAACCTGAACCGAAACCAAGAGTCAGATGCTCAACCGACTGCACCACCCAGGCACCCCATGGTTTCTGTTACTTTTAAAGTGTGTCAGCTAGAGTAGAATATTTTTTTCAGGTGGTTCATTTGCAAAGAGAATGGGACTATTCATTATTTGTTGAGTGTATACTATGTGCCAGGTACTGTTCTCAGTGCTGAAGGTGCAGCAGTGAAGAGATGGACAAAAATCTTTGCCCTCATAGAGTTTACATCTTGGCAGAGGGAGACAGACAATAAATACAGCATACACGTAAATTATATAGTTTGTAGAAGACAAGTGGTGTAGAGAAAAATTGAGCAGGGGAAATTGGGTGATAAAGGCAGACTCACCAAGAAGGTGACTTCTGAGTGAAAATTTCAAGGTGAGAGGGCCAACAACATGAATATATGGGCAAGGAGTGATTCAGTTAAGTGGACTAGCCAGTGCAAAGACCCTGAGGCAGGAGTGTGTCTGGCATATTTGAAGAAGAGCAGGGAGGCCAGTGTGGCTGGAATAGAGTGAACAAGGGAGAGGGGCAAGAGATGAGCCTAGAGAAGTAATGGGGTAACGGATGGGGTTGGCCCTGGCAGCCATGACAGGGACTTTGGCTTTAACTCAGAATGCGATGAGCAGGGGCACCTGGGTGGCTCAGTCGGTTAAGCGTCTGCCTTTGGCTCAGGTCATGATCCCCACGTTGGGATTGAGCCCCACGCTGGGCTCCCTGCTCAGCAGAGAGTCTGCTTCTCTCTCCCCCTTGGCTGCTCCCCCTGCTTGTGCGCCCTGGACTAAAACTCCTAAGTCTTTTGAAAGAAACTTAATATACGGATGTCTGGTTGGCTCAGTTGGTAGAGCATTCAAGTCTTGATCTGAAGTCGTGAGTTCAAGCCCCATGATGGGCAAGGAGACCTACTAAAAAAAAAAAATACATGCTAATACTCAAATACTATGCTTGCATAGTTGGTTTTTGGTGCCAAGTTAAAGGTCTTGATTTGTAGATTTCATTTTGCTAGGTTTGACTTGTTGCTCCAAATAGTAAGAACTTTGGGGAACCCCTAGTATGTTTTATTCAGGGTAATCACTTCTCTGTCTACTTCGTGTAAATCCACACGTTCTGCAAGCATGCCTTCTGTGTCTTCCAAAACCTTGATGGGTTATTGAACAAGACCGAAACTACAGCAAACCTCTAAAACCTCTCTTTAGGTTGATGGTAGCTTTATAATTTCATTCTTTAGTCAGAATTGGTTATACTCCACCAAACTTGAGATCTAGGCTAAGTCTCTGTTATATCCATAAAGATGACATGAGATGTCATTAGTTACCTTTGCTAAGATTATGTACAAATAGCTACACCACATCTATTAGAATTCTCTGATCTACCAGTGTAGAACCTCCCATGTCAATGGGGAGAGAGAGAGAGAGAGGTGCATATCTGATAAATTTATTCATAATGAACTCCTACTCTTAGTGCTCAGTGCTTCCTTTAAAGATTAACAATATACCGCAAAGGCTTTCATTTTTTCATTGCTCACCAATTCTGTTTTTATGGTCATCTGAGACTCTTGCCCAGAACCAACAGCTATCTTGGCCAAGCTGGACCTTACTTTCTATGCCCATTTTGCAGATTACAGTCTTCTGACCTCTCTCCTGTTTTCCAAGATCCTGGGATCCCCAAATGTCAGGATCAAGTTGCTGATTTCATTTGTCCCCCTCACTTTAGAACTCGGAGTCTCCCAGTTGGGCTGTGTCATCCCCCCTCTCCATCTCTAACTTAATCTGCTCTATTCAGCCTTACCTGATGAATTTTAGGAATTCACTGTGACCCTTGGGGAACCCTAGGATCTACAGTGGCTCCCTGCTGTTAATCTAGATGCCATTGGCCTGTCACGGGCTCCCTTCTGGTTACCCTTCTTGTACCTACCACTCCCAAATGTTTTACTCTAGCCAGTTTTTTTTTTTTTAATATGTTGATGTTTGCTCCAACATCTGTGATTCTGTCAGTCTGTCATTTTCATGTTTCTGCTGCCTGTATGAATCTCTCCTTCAGTACTGCAAAATTTAACATGTAATTGTACACTGGAATTACATCATTCCCCTTTTGTTGGATGGGTTAAATTTGTCTCCCCCAACTACCTGTTTTTGAGACCATGTATTATACTGCTATAACAGCTCTCAAAATGCTTTGTAGTGTTTTGGCAGATATCATAGGTAAATATTCATTAAAAACATGCTTTTTTATTGTAGTTGAAGATGCCCAGAGTGGAATGTTTAAAGGAAACAGCAAACAGACAGTTTGGAGGGGCTATTTGGTATGTTATTTTAAATTAATTATGTCTATGCAGTAGACTAGAATAAAAAGCTGTTTTACCTTGAGAGGCTTTTTTTTTTTTAATTTTATTTTATTATGTTATGTTAGTCACCATACATCATTAGTTTTTGATGTGGTGATCCATGATTCATTGTTTTTTTGTAACACCCAGTGCTCCATGCAGAACGCGCCCTCTTTAATACCCATCACCGGTTGAGAGGCTTTTTAATGTATACTTTTTCACTAAGCCTAGCTTACAGGTATTAGTGAATGCTGATTTAAGTAATCTTAACATTCTGATTTTGAAGCTGTAAGTTTTCACCAGCCTTATGATGTGGAAAGTGAGTTGTGTTTTTCCCTCTCTTATTTTAGACCACAGATAAAGAAGTCCCTGGGTTAGTGCTAATGCAAGATCTGGCTTTCCTGAGTGGATTTCCACTGACATTCAAGGAAACAAATCAACTAAAAACAAAATTGCCAGAAAATCTTTCTTCTAAAATAAAACTGGTAAGAGCATAGGAAACAGAGCAATGAGTATAGCACATTTTCATTTAATGCTTGACTCTTCTCCTGTGATCCATTTCATTATAGTAGAGCTGACAGTCATAAGCAAGAGGGTCTCTGTTCTGCCACAGTATTGTCATGAAGATGGCTCTTTCTTTACAGAAGATTCTTACTCTTTACTTTTTTTTTTTTTTAAAGATTTTATTTATTTATTTGACAGAGAGACACAGCGAGAGAGGGAACACAAGCAGGGGGAGTGAGAGTAGGAGAAGCAGGCTTCCCTATGAGCAGGGAGCCTGATGCAGGGATGTGGGGCTTGATCCCAGGACCCTGGGATCCTGACCAGAGCCGAAGGCAGGCGCTTAACGACTGAGCCACCCAGGCGCCCCTTACTCTTTACTTTTTATTTGGGCAAAAATTTAAGAGTCTTATTTGGTTTGCTGGTTTCCCAGAAACATGATTCATTTGTTTAACAAATGAGCTCCTACTGTGTGTCAGGTGCTGTTATACCTGCTGAGAATATAGCAGTGGACAAAAACAGACAAAAGCCCTGAATGGAACTTACAGTGGAAGGAAACGGAAGCACAGGAGGGAGTGGGGGAAGTCATACATAAGTAAACACTTGGACTGCAACCTGCCTATTTATTAAGAGCCGTCACTCATAAAGGGAGTATGCTTCAGATATTTGCAATGGTTGATAATGTGAAACCTTTATTCATAAATAGCTAATTGAGCCACTAATGTATTTGGGGATTTATACCTATTAACTCTTCACACTTTGATGCCATTTGTTAGAGTTGACTTTGGAGGCTGCCCTGAGACATGCCTTTTCCTTAACATTTATTGTTTTCAGACCCACTTGCCCTATTGTATGGGTGTTCTTTCCTTTTGAGCTTATGTCAAGATACCTGTGGTTCTGTCAAACATTCCAGGTTGTAAAACGTGAATACTTTTCTCTTAGAACAGAAGGCATAAAGTTCTGGGCTCAGAATTTTTTAGGGTCTGGTTTTCTTGATTTTACAAGGAAATGTTCTTTAAATTCTGCCACAGTGTTCAGGTTCCTGACTCTTACTTCCTTCTATTCGTGTCATTTAACAATTTGGAGGTGAGAGGATGGAGATGGGTAGGCAGTGATGGGGAAGAGCAGTGTTTGTGGAGTTCTTATTTAGTTGCTCTCTTGACCATGTTTTTTAATACCCTACCCCACCCCCAACATTCCCTTTAACTTGTTTCTTTCCATAAATATTTCACTGTTTTAAGATACACTCTGTGACCATTGTAAGTGTGATGGTAATATGAATGACATTTTTTTCATATTTTCCTTAAGTTTTTTTTATGGTACTTGGAAATCTAGTAGTTTACAGCTAGATTGGGGTTGAATTATTTCTTATCTTCAGTTATTTAAAAATAGATACTGTATTCCTCCTTCCTCTAAGGAAGAGGAATTGAAAAAATTTGACATATAACACTGTAAATTTAAGGTGTACAACATGCTACTTTAAATACATTTATGTATTGTAATATGATTGCCATTGTAGCAGTATTTATCACATTACAAAATTATAGTACAGTATTATCTATATTCATTATACGGTGCATTAGATCCCTCTGGCTTACTTAGTACTCCTTGCAAAGTTTGTGTTTTTAAAACATCAGTCTTATTCCCCAAACCCTATCCCCATGGTAAATACCATTTTACTTTATGTTTTTTATGATTTTGACCTTTTTGGATTCCACTTGTGATATACAGTATTTGTCTTTCTGTGTCTGACTTTTCTCACTTAGTGTGATGTGCTAAGCCTAAGATCCATCTATGTTGTAGCAAATGATAGGATGTCCTTTCTCATGGCTGAATAATATTCCATTGTATATATATACTACATCTTTTTTATCTGTTTATCTGTTGATGGGCATTTAGGTTGTTACCATATCTTGGCTATTGGGAATAATGCTGTAGTAAACATGGGAGTGCAGATATTGCTTTGAAATCCTGTTTTCATTTCCTTTTGGTATATACCCAGAAGTGGAGTTGCTGGATTGTATGATAGATTTATGTGTAATTTTTTGAGGAGCCTCTATATTATTTTCTATAGTGGTTGGACCAATTTATATCCCCACCAGTATTGTACAAGGGTTCCATTTTCTCCACAGCCAATGTTTATTTAGCTTCTTGGCTTCCAAGCTGTTGGTTCTAGAATTATGGACATGTGTGTCTGTACTTTGTTACCTGAAATTCCTTATGCAAAAAAATTTTTTTTAAAGATTTTTATTTATTTATTTGTCAGAGAGAGAGCACACACACAAGCAGGGGGAGCAGCAGAGGGAGAAGGAGAAGCAGACTCCCCGCTGAGCAGGGAGCTTAATGCGGGACTCGATCCCAGGACCCGGGGATCATGACCCGAGCCGAAGGCAGCCGCTTAAGCGACTGAGCCACCCAGGCGTCCCAAGAATGACATTCTTGAATCTATTTATATGATTCCAACTATAATATGTTTTTAAAGGAAAGAAGGTTCGTGACACATCTCCATTCTCCAGTCAGGTTTCACTGCTCTTTGCCTGCTGCAGTTGCTCACCGGTGCTGATTGCTTTTGGTGTGTCTGTTGGTGGATGGGTGTGTGCTGCCAAAGGATGCCAATCCAAGTAGTGATTGACCCTTCAGCAAACTATTTTTGGGTGGTATAGAGTGTGGTGTATGCAGGTAGAGGTAGGGTGGGATAATAACTTGATTTGGTCAAGTAGTACCCACAGGCTCTGTGCACAATGATACTCCCTTCTACCGTTATTCACCCGGCTGGAGATTTATTTGGATTCCCAGGCTTGTTTTTGGGGAGGCTAGCACCTCCTCAGAGGGTCAAGCTAATTATCCATAACTTTCATTGCACGTCATTTTCATGATGCCAACACCTTCAATCAACTTCAGGGATTAGAACTGGTTTTTGGAGGTTAGAGAGAAAATGAGAAAGGGGAAGAGAAGGGAAGTGTATCAGCATTTGAAGCTAATTCTTCAAGTGACTTTCTGTAGGTTCCTCTTCCTGGTTTTATTATGAATACCTTGAGAATGAAGTTTCCTGTCACTGGATTCCCAGTCCATTTAGACTGTGAGCTTTTAATAAATGTCTGTTGTGTGCCAGGGACTGTGCTAAGGATCACTGAGTGAATAAAGCATTTAAATAATTGTGGGGCATGATCACTTCCAAGTAAGTGTTTATACAAAGTGTTATAAGAACACCTGGGCTTTAGGTGTACTGGTACAAGGAAGGCTTTGCAGAACAGAAGGCATTTTAGCTGGGCCCGGAACACAGCAGCCATTCTCCCAGCAGAGGAAGAAGTGGGAAAGACCATTCCAACAAGAGGGACCAGCCTGAGCAAAGGGCTGGAGGCTTGCAAGTCAATGGTTCCCAGAAAACCAAGGCAGCTGTTCCTGGAAGACAGCAACCAGGCAGGGATTTTGCTGGTGCTGAGACTGGGAAAAGAGATTGAGGCCAGATTGAGAAAGTTCTGGTAAGGAGCCTGGACTTTATCCTGGAGGCAGGAGGCATCCTTAGGAGGAGCACTTGATCTGTTTCTAAGGAACACAGTAGCTGAAGGTATGGTGGTAGAGATTAAAAGATGAGGCTGGGCAGAAAACCAGTTCAGCCACTGCAGCCATAGCCCAGCAAGATGTTCAGGTTCCACAACTGTCTTGGCAGCGGTGCCAGTAATGAGAATGGTTCCAGAAACATCCATGAGAAATACTCAGCATGACCCTCTGACTTATTAGCTGTTGGGGAGAGGGAAGGAAAAATGAAAGGGGAAGTGATGGCTTAAACCACATTTGGAGCCTCAGTAGGAGAAGCAAGTTTTTTGGGAAGGAAACTCAGAGCTCAGTTTGGGGTGTGTTGTTAGAAATGCTTTGTGGTGGGGCGCCTGGGTGGCTCAGTCGTTGGGCGTCTGCCTTCGGCTCAGGTCATGATCCCAGGGTCCTGGGATCGAGCCCCGCATCGGGCTCCCTGCTCGGCGGGAAGCCTGCTTCTCCCTCCCCCACTCCCCCTGCTTGTGTTCCCTCTCTCACTGTGTCTCTCTCTCAAATAAATAAATAAAATCTTAAAAAAAAAAAAAAAAATAATCATTTTTAAAAAAAAAAAAAAAAGAAGTGCTTTGTGGCATGTGGGAGGAAAGGGTTATTAGACACTGGACTTCAGGACCTCAACGGGCTGGACTTTTTTGCCCTCCCAGGGTCCTCCAGGAGGCCTTGGCCTAGGCCTGTGGCCTCCGAGCCAGCCAGTGCTTAGGTCTGCCCTGGAGACCCTGCCCGGGTATGAGCAACCCAGGACAGATACTGCCTGTTCACCTGTGTACCCCTAGTGATTACCGCAGGCTTGGTACTTAGGGGGCCACTCAAGAAATGCTTATGGAAGGCATGAGCAAGAAGAAAGGCTGTGACTGAACACACCGCCATGTACCATGTCCTGGAATATAAAGGCAATGTTTGAGCAGTGTGATTATTCCAAGGAAGTCATTTTGGTTTTTGGTATCATGGTCATATATATACTACAACTTTGCATTTATCATTCTGTTTAGAGCAAAACTAGAATCCCCTCACCCCCAGGAAAGGAAGTGGGGGTTGAAAATATTTTCATTTGCAAAATGATAGATTTGAATTCATAAAAACTTTTCTGTGGAGTATAGTCTTACAAATCAAACAGTCTTCTATTGAAAGCTTTCTAGTTTGATCTGCTTAATAACCCTTTAATTTATCTGTAGAATTGTGTGTGATGGACACAGAATTCACCTTTTGGGAAATCACATTATCCATTGGTCTTTATTTTAAGCTCATTCTAAATCATTCTGTATTTTCATTGATAGTGGGGTTTTCATACGGTTTTTGATTTTTGTTGTTTACTTCTTTAATATATGTTAGAGCACATGGAAAAATCTTCCCAAAGCTCTCAGGTACGTTCTCACATTTAGTTTAATTCAATACTATTGGTTGCTAAGTGGGTGTGCAAAAGAGAAGACACGGGCTTGTCCTCAAGCTACCTAGAATTATGTTTTGGAGGCAGTATGTGTGCATATGAAGTATTCAAGTAGCAAAATAAGATAGTATAAGCTATCAAGGAGAGTAGTACAGACCTCCAAGTTGGCATTTAGAGGCAGGACAGGTCTGTGTGGATCAGAGACATGGGGGAAGTTTCCAAAGAGAAAGAGGCTGCACAGATTCCTTGAAGGCTGACCAGGGTGTTTGCTCCAGCAGGAAGGACAGTGCTGGTGGGATGGGAACAGCATATTGTCCTACCTGAACTTTGTCACCTCAAACCTCTGTTCAGGGCAAATTCAAGGTAACAATAAATTGTAGTAATAACTGTATTAATAATGCCCCTTTTAGTGGCTTCCCTGAAACTGTCTGATGCACCTCCTCTTTTAAAGTATGGTACCCTTTGTTTTGGTTTCATTTCTAAAATAGACACTTCTGTAGATTAAAGCAACTCTGGAATTGATTTAAGTTTTATAAAACTCTTTTTTGAGTTGTCAAATTACTGGAATGATTTTTTCAGTTGTATCAGTGGGCATGTTTTTCCCCTAACCTTATGCTACCATGTATAGGTGTATCAATCCATTATACTAGATAATGCTATAGTAACAAATACCCCGAAATCTCTGGCTTAAAAGTAGCAGACCTTTATTTCTCAGTCATGTTACCTGTCTGTTGTGGGCCTGCAGTGGGTGGGTGTAGAAGCTGTTCTCTCTTTGAGAAACTTATAATTTAAAGAATTTAGATAAACTGAACAGCCGCCCTCATCAGCTCCAACTCCCTCTCCGAGCCCTTGTTGAACATCGCAGACCCACTCTCCTCTTCGCGCCCTGATTCCCCATCCTCCCCATCTCCACCATCCACCCAAGAGGCCTCTCCCGCTGGTGATGTGGCTGCAGGATCCCCCTTGGTGCCAGAGTTGGGCTCCCCACAAGAACCTGGGAAGTCCCTGCCACCTCCAGCCCCACTGGGCCTGCCTCCGCCCCAGGAATTTGGCCAGGGGAACCCATTTATGCTCTTTTTCTGCCTTGCCATCCTGCTGGAGCACCGTGACCACATCAGGTGCAACAGGCTAGATTACAACGAGCTGGCCATGCACTTTGACCACTTTGTGTGAAAACAGCACCTGGGGCCCGTCCTTTGCTGGGCCAAGGCTCTCTTCGCTGATTACCTGCAGTCAGAGCTGTGGGACTCAGAGGAGGGGGCCAAGGCCACAACCCCATCTTGATCAGGCTCCTTCCAGCCCACCAGATCTCTGGTTCTTTACCACGAGGGACTAACGTGAGACCCCAGCTCCCTGCCTGCCAGCCCTAGATCTGCTGGAGTGCAGGGCCCTTTCTCCCCAGGTCTGAGAGTATGGGGCTCTGCCTTGGCACTGCCCCATGGAGGCCATGGCCTCCTTTGTCAGTTTATGTTGTGTTGTTTTTAACAACTGTACTTTGCACACATGAAGGTCACTGTAGTCTGTGTAAAAAAATAGAAAAAAAAATTTAGTTAAACTTATAATTTCATGTAAGAAGCTATATATGGAAGCCCCTGCCCAAGCTAATCCAGCCTTCAGCACTTACTGCACCCACTTTTCCTTACCACCTCCTGTCTCTCTTCTGCTGAAGTAAGGTGTCCAGGATTAGGGTGCCACCTAGTGGCTAGCAGAAGATACTTCTCCCCACCCTTTTCACCACTCACAACTTGGTTAATTATGGTGGCAGAAAAGCTTTTTCAACATATAAATATTCCCTTAAGCTCTTTACTTTTCATCTCTCTAGTCAGGAAAATGTCTGTGAAATTTCAAAATAGGTTTCCAGACGAAAATCAGTTTGTATAGAAGAGATTAAGATAAGGGTATTTGCCCAATAAAATTTAGAGTATTGAAGTACTACATTTATAAAAATTTAGTGATTTTTATATTTCAGGGAGCCCTCAGAGGTGCTGTGGGAGCCACCATGGGAGGGAGGGATGGAGCGGGGGAGGCTGGGGCGGGCAGTGAGACTCAGTAAATAGCCAGATAGAAGAACATCCACCCTGTCTCCCACCTGTCCCCCAACATACTGAGGCAGGGTGACAGCAGCAGTGAGACCTGACGTTCGGTGGGTGCTCAGTATATGCCAGGCGCTGTCAGGATGAAAGAAAGTAATCAGTCAGGAAGACAGTACACACCTGTGCATGTCTGCACCCATACACTCACAAGCACTTTGTGGTAAGAAGGGGGAAAACATAAATGAAATTCTAACTTGAATCTCTAGTTTTTGGCATGGATAAACTCAGGAAAACTTTGAAAGATGAGGTAAATATAGTCAGGTAGCATATACAAGAGCTCAGAATGAGCCCATAATAATTTGCATTTGCTCTGCTTTATAAATTAAGAAACTGGCCCTGTTAGGAGAGTCAATTCAGCAGAAGGGGTTCACTGTCCTAGATTAGTAGTTTTCAGTTCTCTCTCCCACGTTTTTAAGCTATGAAAGCCTCTTTTCATAGGAAATTGAATGATACAGAGTTAGAACATGAAACGGATGTGGTGGTGTGGTGGGAAAGCCTGTTTGTAAAACATGCTGATGTTTGTGATCATCTTAGACTGATGATTTCTTTGAAAGCTTTGTCCCAAAAGGTGCTTTTCCTAATGGAAACTGTTCAAGCAGCCCTGTCAAAGACACTCCTCTTAGGTGTGGGGCACAAAAGCTGTTTGGAGACCCTGCTAGCAGGCTTGCTCTCTACCAATCCCACAATGTTACATTGCAGAGTTTCCCCCAGTATAAGGAGATTGGTAATATTCTAGAAAAAAGGTCACAATTGGTTACCAGTTATGTTTTGTTTGAAAGCAGGACAATCGAAAACATTTGAGCCAGCACTGAAAATGGGGAGATTCCATAGAACACTTGGGGATTCTGGCCTCTTAGGAGATCTTGCTGCACTTGTCGATACTGAGTAGTGACTGTGGCTTTTGGATGGGGCCTGAAATGTCCCATTTACCACAACTCCACCACTCCCTCTGTTTTACATACCTGGGTTCTTCCATTCATTTGGGAAGTGTGTCTGGCCTGTTTACATCTCCTTTTGGTGATCATAGGCTTACTAGTTGATAATCTACATAGAGAGCTAGAATTAATCCATAAACATACATCATATAGATTTTTTTTATTATGTTAATCACCATACATTACATCATTAGTTTTTGATGTAGTGTTCCATGATTCATTGTTTGCGTATAACACCCAGTGCTCCATGCAGAACGTGCCCTCCTTAATACCCATCACCAGGCCAACCCATCCTCCCACCCCTCTCCCCTCTAGAACCCTCAGTTTGTTTTTCAGAGTCCATCATCTCTCATGGTTCACATACATAATATAGACTTAAATATGTACTATACATTATATACATTTAAAGGTTAAAGATCAAACTGGGAATTTAGAGATGTCTCTTCTCTGAGGCTCAGTTTTTCTACATGTAACCCTTTTGTTATTTTACAGTTACAGTTATATTCAGAGGCTAGTGTAGCACTTCTAAAACTGAATAACCCCAAAGATTTCCAAGAACTGAACAAGCAGACAAAGAAGAACATGACCATTGATGGAAAAGAACTGACTATAAGTCCTGCATATTTATTATGGGACCTGAGTGCCATTAGCCAGGTAAGGGATGCAGAGATTCTTTCTAAACCCTGATCAAAGGTGTAGATTGTTAAGGATTTATTTATAAGTCATTATATTAGAAGAAGGAAGAAGACTTAACAGAGAGATGAGTTGATTGGAACTTTTCTAATTTTCCAGTCATTGCCACTGGTTAATATTAACTGAAGTGACCTAGAATCAGATCCAAGAACCTTCTCTTTTAAAAAGTGCAAAAGAAATGTTGGGTATTTATGTTGTTTTAAATATGCTGAATGTTGTGCATTTTTTGTAATGTTCAAATGTAGGACTCAGTCTGCCAGAGCACCCTGAAAGAAGATTGGGCAGAGGGGACAGCCAGGAGGAAAGGTGTGACTTAAGTGGTATTTTACATTTTCATGTGTGAAATGTTCTTCTCAGTCTAAGCAGGACGAAGATGTTTCTGCCAGCCGTTTTGAAGATAATGAAGAACTGAGATATTCACTGCGATCCATTGAGAGGCATGCTCCATGGGTTCGGAATATTTTCATTGTCACCAATGGGCAGATTCCATCTTGGCTGAACCTTGATAACCCTCGAGTGACAATAGTCACACACCAGGTCCATGACTTTCCATATATCACAAGGCTTTGGTTTCCTTTTCTGTCCTTCACCTATCCCTCATTTCATTCCCCTTTACATCACCCTCCCCACCTCCATCCCCTTCGATTCTTCTACTCATCTCCCTTCCTTCCTTCCAAAACCGAAGACAAAATGAAATAATTCTCATCCACCCTCTTTCTCTCTTGCCTTTGTTGTTGTTTTCTTAAAAGGATGTTTTTCGAAATTTGAGCCACTTGCCTACCTTTAGTTCACCTGCTATTGAAAGTCACATTCATCGCATCGAAGGGCTGTCCCAGAAGTTTATTTATCTGAACGACGATGTCATGTTTGGAAAGGATGTCTGGCCAGATGATTTTTATAGTCACTCCAAAGGTCAGAAGGTGAGTGCCTAAGAGGAAGGGATGCCTAGCTTAGAAGTCACTTAGGAGTTATAAACAGATCAGGAAAACAGTATACATACTACTATATATACAGTTTGGGTCAAATAAGCATTTTTTGAGTGCTGAGCTCAGGAGAATTAACAGTTTGGGAGGACAAAAACTGCTCCTTAGTAGTTATTTGCTTCCCTACATTGTCAGACACCCAGAACCCACCTTCTATATTTTCTACTATGACAATAGCAGAGAAAGCAAAACCACTATGAAATACAAAATCATGGTTAGAACATCAGCACAATGGCCAAGATAAAAAGTGAGCTCAATTTTCTGCTTACAGACATGGATGAAATTTTATGTAAGGCAGCAGTCTCATCGTGGCTTTGAGAGGCATGATGGAGAGTGGTTATGAGCACAGACCTAGGAGCCAATAGTTGAGGATGGTCCTGGGCAATGATTTGATGTGTGTTTCCTGTCTGCATAGTGGGGAAACTAGGAGTACTCCTGTGGCCCTGTTAGAAGGATTCAGTGAAAAGTTGGAGAATTACCACCATAAACTTCTAAGTTACAGAAGCCTGCGACTGGAAATGCAAATTGTACAAAGCTACTTTTCCTTTTGCTGTTTATGCCATCCCAGTGTGCTCGTTCTCTCCTTCCCCTGTTCAGTTGCCTCCTTTGTGTTTGTAGGGCTGCCAAGGTGAGCCGTGGCTTGGCAGGGGAGACACACAAAATCAGTAACTAGGGATAGTGATTTCTGTGCCGGCAGGTGTGCCCTTGGTGGGAAGGCGTGGGGGCCCAGGAGGTTGAAATCAGACCGGGCTAGAGAAGAATTCCCATCTGAATTGAAATGAACTTTGAAGAACAAGTAAGAGTTAACTAGATAAAGAAAGACATTCCACATAGATGGAGCATGCAGAGGCATGGAGTGTATTTTTTTTAATTAAAAAGTTATAATGTACCAGGTCACTCATTTTGGAAAGCAGGCGAGTTCACAACTTAGAACACTGTGCTAATAATTTATCACAGGACCTTATGCACAGAGATAAGGATATTGAGGCTGCTTTTCTCAGCCATGAGACAAGATTATAGGTAAATACATCCAGGAATTAATGACAGTTGTCACAGAAAAGCAGTGAATATGTGGTATACTTTCTACCTGCTTTGGCATGCTTTTGTACTTAAGTCTGACGTGTTGCTGTTTTATTTCAAAATAGATCATAAACTAATCCATGAGTTGAGTTCTTGTCTGCTTTCCTTGAGTAATGAAAAAGAGTAAATGTGCTCCGTAAGAATCATCGACAGAGCAGGACTCTAAACTACTGTAGCAGACAATGTAAAATAGGCCACGTGGATGCAGTCAGCCAGCCCAGGGAGAATCGTAACCTTTACTGGAGGCTCAGTTTCTTTTTTTTTTAAGGAATCCTAATTTGAGATTAAAAAGTGTCCATTTTATTTTCTTTCTGGCTCTGTCATAGGTTTACTTGACATGGCCTGTGCCAAATTGTGCTGAGGGCTGCCCAGGTTCCTGGATTAAAGATGGCTACTGTGACAAAGCTTGTAATAATTCAGCCTGTGATTGGGATGGCGGTGACTGCTCTGGTAAGGATGTGCTCGCATGTAATTTGTTTATGTTTATGAACTTTTTTCCATTCTTAATCATCACTGAATAAGTACAGTGACTTAAACATTCCTCATGTATGAAAACAATACATAGAGTAATCCATAGATTCTAGAGGTAATGACTAGTGTCCCCATGTGGCTCAGTTTTTTCATATTCTCCCTTGTTGAGGGCATATTCCCAGGCTGACCCTGCACTTGAAAATACCTTTTATTATTTAAAATATGAAAATCAGGAATATCTTTAATTATGTAAACTCAAGAGCAAGAATCACTCTAACTGGTTCTTCTAGGAGCTCACGGCTGGTGGCTTTCAGCAGCAGCTTGCTGTCAGTGAGTAAAGAGAAATAAAGATCTTATCTCTTCAGCATCTCCGCTCTCTTTCTTACATCTCTTACCTGCATTTGTTGATAATTTATTGATTGCCTTTCAGTTTATAAAGCATTTAAATTTATAAAGCATTATCCATTATCCACTTGAATTTCTTAGTGACCTAGATATTATCATTCCCATATTCCATATGCAGAAGCAGATTTGAAAAAGTGCTATTAGAAGAAACAAAAGTTATGTTCTGTCTGATGTACTTTTGAAAAATGTAAGCAGCCGCAGTGAGAGAACACAGACATGCCAAGATCCGTGCAGTCCAGAGACCTGTCCAGAGACATCAGCCCCTAATAGAACATTAGCATTTGGTGATGAGGTCGGCACCCCATATTAGAACATGTTTTGGCAGTTCTGACAGGCTGCTCCACACACACCTCTGCATGCCCCTGTGGGCAAGTTTGTACTTCAGGGTTGCACAGCTGGTAAGTGCCAAGGCCTGGTCATCCCATGCCCAGTCTCTGTCAAGTGATGCTCCCTTTTTAGTTTGTTTTCTTCTTAAGGTACATGAAATTTTCTGGTAAACAGTGGGGTGAACCTTTTCTGACCGAAATGCTGGCATCAATCTAGATAGCACTACTGAGCAAGAAGGAACTGTCCTTTTCCAAGATGATAAGCACAGCAAGATTCTGTCTTCCTCCTCCCTCTGCAGGTAACAGTGGTGGGAGTCGCTATGCTGCGGGAGGCGGAGGTACCGGCAGTATTGGAGTTGGACAGCCCTGGCAGTTTGGCGGAGGGCTCAACAGTGTCTCTTACTGTAATCAGGGGTGTGCGAATTCCTGGCTTGCTGATAAGTTCTGTGACCAAGCTTGCAATGTCTTGTCCTGTGGGTTTGATGCTGGCGACTGTGGGCAAGGTATATTTAACACGTAAGAAGATATTTAGAATAAGGGGATCAAAGTCCTTGATAAGTAGAGGGAGGTTTGTATTGTTGTTACTTTTTTTTTTTTTTTTAAGATTTTATTTATTTATTTG